AGTTCAGTGAAAACAATTTTTTTCGACAAATATTGTTGTCAGCATGTGTCATAAATGTAACTCATATATGTTGATAAAGGGAAGTAATCACGTTATGTCAAGGTGGACGTAAAACAAATCATTTACTATTTGACCTTCAACTGATATACTATTATGATTTCTAAAATACGCTTTGGACATTAAATTGCAGTAATGAGCTAACAGAACATTCGTGTTAACCATGAAACTGATTTTGTCATACACTCTGACAAACACTCACCGACACAAGGGAATACAGTATCATCAAAATTGTAAAACTAATGAAGTTATTACTACAAGCTTTTCTACGAGTAATGAGGCATAATTCATTTATCAGAAAAATATCAAAAAGTCCATTCCATATAGAATAGGAAATGTCACTTTAATTCTTCCATAATATATCTTGATTGAGAAATAGTATAAGGAACTAACGATACACTATATTACAGTAAATAAATGTAACATATATCCTATCACATTAATACATTGGTATTTGGGTTTGATTGAAAGTAATTTTTACTCTTGGGTTGCGAATTAATTTTTAAAAAACGTTATTGCTCGAGTATGGAAAGATGGATGCTCCATTTCCGTCATAGACTCCCTATTTAATAATTAATAAACAAACTTACGATGAGTGATTGAACTGAAGCCTCAAATAATACAAATATTACTTTATAAAACGTTAGAAGGTACTGTGACTGTTATCGCTGGTTAGTACAGCAGTGTTGTTTCTACCTTTTAGACCATTGTGTTCTTTTCTTCCATAATCCACGATCGTGTCTTTGTACTTTTATTTACTGTTTTGTCAATCTTGATACTATCCATCGCATATTTGCCTACTTTACACAAGAGCGCATGTCTGTAGAACTAAGTCAGAAAGGAGAAGGTATGATAAGTTAACCTTTTTTACCCCTTTTATTCGAAAATAAAAAAAAATATTATCAATCTTTCAAAAAGTATCATTCAGATGTTCAGTAAGCACTATTTTTCTTATCAGATTGCAGTTTATATACTTTTTTATCAGATTGCAGTTTATATACTATTGATTTTTTTTTAAATGTTACTGGTTAAACCTCAAAACAAACAGTAATAAATAAAATCAATAGTATATCTTCTTGATGTCTTTTTGTACTCTGACAACTGATTTTGAGAAAATATGAAAAAGTGCCCAAACCCATTAACAAATCTAATACTTTACCAGAATAATAAAATTATGTAAGAAAACCTCTAGGATTTCTTTACTGTCCCTTTCCATTATTATTATTATAGTGTTATTTTAAGGAAGTGCCAATCAAAGTTCATTCAACATATGCTTCACTTAGTTCAGTTGTATAAGATATCGATACATACGTAATGAAGCAACAAAGTTTAACAATCGTATAGATCAAGGTATGTCGTTATAGATGTTACAGCAGAAAGACACTAAGACATATTGTTCTAATGAGAGGATTGGTTAATAATACCTGTTACTACAAGTAATTTGTCTTCAGATTCGTTAATGTTGAGTAATTGTTTATCAAGTGGTTTATTATACGTTCATCATTTCCTTCTTGACCAAATCAATACAATTTCTACTGATAATGATATTTGATGTGAAATCTATAAAATGCAGATATTCACTTCCTGTGTTCGGTTACCGTTTCACAACACTTTTAAATTTATAATTTACAAATACACATGCAAGAACATAAAGCAGTATTAATTTTATCGAATATCAATTACCTTTTACATGCATTATTTATACCTACAGGTTGCACTTCTGTAAATATAGACAATGCAATTTCCCATAGGAACTCGTTTTACGGCTAAAACTGTGCCACTCTTACTGTGAAGTTTCGTAAAATAATATATCCTAGAATGGAGAATGCATATGCACTACTATTTTTTTTTCAAAGGTCAAAACATAGGGATGTGCCGCAAATTTTCAACATGTTTAAGCCTCAAACTTCTAAGAGTTTAAACTTATAGTAAAAGTATGTACAACCCCTGCCTTCATTTTGGGTCTTCCTCAGAATTCAATTTGGCCGCTATCCCTGAGTATCTATTCTGGTAAAATTCCAAAGTTGTGTCTCTGTGAAATGAAACATAGAAATCATATCTGGGAACTAGAAGATGAACGAAACAAAATATCTATAAATATTATATATCTCATCAAAAGAGGCGTGATTTGTGAAACAGCTGTATTTACAAAGTGCAACCTACGCGATTTTCCTGGGAATACGAATTTTTTACTACATGACTAATCTTTAGTACATATAAATTTGAGTGACTTAGTTTTGAAGTCTATAAACACTTAGTAATGGATTATGTTACTTGACAAACTGTAAACTAGTATATGTATTTATGTATGATTGCGGTCAAATATGAGTTACAGTTGTTCGTATTTTCGTTCAAGCACTGCTAAAATTCCATCTATCATTCCATATTGTAATAAGAGTTGTTACCGTTAACCATTGTTCTTTGTTAATAATAAATTTTGTCTTCATTTCTACATTTTTTTCTGCTCTTTGGTCGGGTTGTTGTCTCTTTGAATACTTTGAACGACAAAATTATTTTATTTATTAATATTACTTTTACTGTTAAGTCTGTTTTTTGTGATATACATTTGACGTTACTCTGTACTAATATACCCCGTCATACTTTGAACCACAATATTATTTTATTTATTAATATTAATTTTACTGTTAAGTCTGTTTTTTGTGATATCTATTTTACGTGACTCTGTACTTATGTATCCCGTCATACTTTGAACGACAAAATTATTTTATGTCTACCTGTGCGAATTTCAAACTCGCGATTTTAACGCCGGTACTTAAAACCTTCCATCTTTTATGGGTGGACTTATATAGATAAATAAAATCGTATAATATAAAAGCAAAATGAAGATATTAAATTTGATGTATGCCTTTTTGTGCTTCTTCGTTACATTTGTTTGTTTTTATAGTGATTAGGATGATAACACAATGTTGACTGCTGTATCCCTATTTTTGACATTTTTACCTATTGTGTCTGTTTGTTTTGTTCACTCATCGTTGTCAATATAATGGAATTTCATGCGACTGTCATACAAGTGAGAGGTTCAGCTAGCTATAAAACCAGGTTCAATCCACCATTTTCTACATAAGAAAATGCCTGTACCAAGTCAAGAATATAACAGTTGTTATCCATTCGTTTGATGTGTTTGAGCTTTTGACTATGAGGGTCGGTTGAAAACAAAACTTTACGACAAAAGAGATGATGTCAGCTTCCCAATTGTGTGTGAATTTTCATTTTTAAACCAAGAGTTCCAAATGGTGAAGCTGAAATCATCACTTTGTAAATTTTACGGACGCCATCACGAGTTGGTTGACCGTTATGGAATATCCGTTTCACAGATGATATCGGATATTTTCCTATGTCGTAACTACAATCCCGTTCCCTTTTCACGAATGTGACCTACCGATTTAGACTATTTACCCCTATTTGTGACATTTTTACCTATTGTTTTTGTTTGTTTTGTTCACACATCGTTAATTTTGTCAATATAATGGAATTTGATGCGACTGTCATGCAAGTGAGAGGTTTAGCTAGTTTTAAAACCTGGTTCAATAAACCATTTTTTACATAAGAAAATGTCTGTACCAAGTCAGGAATATGACAGTTGTTATCCATTCGTTTGAGATTTTGATTTTGCCATTTGATTAGGGACTTTCCTTTTTGAATTTTCCTCGGAGTTCAGTATTTTTGTGATTTTACTTTTTTTTTGACACATTCTCCGTTTCCATTCTCAATTTTACCATCATAGTAACTGTCAGGTACGATAACCTTTAAACAAATTTATAATACACATTATAAAACACAACAAGACATATATATGAATCACAAATGGCATCAATTTCCATCAAATAACATACAATCCACAAAAAAAGAAGCGGATAGTTAGAATATGAATACTACATATATAATGCACGAACTGTTGTTCTTTAGATTAATATTCTTATACAAAAAATACGTTTTACTCTATAGATGGTCTTTCATTTTCCCTCTACTTTTTGAGTTTGATTATTTTTATGACAAACCTGGTGTCTATTTGTATTAACATGAAATATTTGACAGACTACCTTAATGGTCGATAATTATTCATATTTGTTCACTTTGTTACTGAAATTAATCATGGCCTTCCACGTAATTTTTGGTTTGACTATTATAATCTAGAAGTTAGATCCTGCCTCGGGGTACGCCTCTTTGGTTGTGCAAATTGTTACGGCGGGATGATTATATAATGGGACATTGCTTAAGTTAATATCATACTTAGCTACCCTTTAAAGTTTATTTTTCTTTCGTTGAATATGAGTAGCTCATGATATTACTTTGTAACTTTCATTTTTTTTGGTGTTTTGCTCCTTTGTTTAGAGAGGCTTTCGAGTGTATGATTCATAAATGGCGTTCCGTTGGTTGATATAGTCGAGTGTTTGATTTTGTTAGGTTTTATGGACTTCCCCCTTTTTTAATTTCCATTGGAGTTTATTTTTCTTTAGTTGATTATGAATAGCTCATGTTATTACTTTGTAACTAACATTTTGTTTTTTTGTGGTTTGCTCCTTTGTTAATGACGTTCCTTTGGTTGACATAGTTGAGTGTTTAATTTTGTCAGTTTTTATGGGCTTTCCCTATATTTATTTACCATGGAGTTCGAAATTTTTGTTAAAACCGTTTTTTCATACAAAGCGCAGGTTTAAATGGCGTTTTAAGTAGCAATAAAAAGTCAAGACTATGATTTTTATTCCTAGATTGTTACTGGTGTCGTCTTGATTTCTTCAAAGTTGCCACTGATTGCTAATATATAAGACCTGAGAACATGTATAGAGTCGTACCGTTGAATGGTTTTGCCCTTTACATTTTACACTACCTTATTTTAAGATATCTATGAAAATCACATAAATTAGTTTTTTTTCAAATTATGTACCTGTAATAACTAATATGATTTATTTTATAATTTTCAGACTACATCTGTTTCTGTATCCGTATTAACGCTTAGTGCTATATCTGTTGAGAGATACTTCGCTATATGTCAGTTCTGGAAAGTTAAACCTGCTTCAAAGACTATAAGTTGTATCCTAGTTATTATATGGTGTGTTAGTTGTCTAATATCAATACCTCATATTGTATATATGACTGAAAACCACACATTTCCGGAGTCTATGACGTCGTTATTGACATTTTGTAAAATTGAAATGGATGAGGACCATTATTTGGGCTATAATATGTTGAAGATAACAATGTTATATGTATTACCGGTTCTGATCATGACGTTTACGTACTCTGTTATTTCCCGACATCTGTGGAAGAATGAATTACCAGGAGTGTCAGAAGAAGGTAAAGTATTATATTCCTTAATAATCATTATGTTTATGGCTGTTCGATGAGTACTGATTGATATTTTAGTCTTAGATACATATTTTTTTTTTATTAGTTGTTATTGGCTTTGAACTAGCTGTCAGTAACTGCAAGTACTCTCAGATCTGTACTAAGTGTCTTTTTTGTTGTTAGGGATGAGGGATTGATAAATACCCTGCCACGTACGGTTTGTGTTTATGTTTGATGTTTTTTCTGCTTTGTATCGATCTGATGAGTTAAGCCTTTTTCAACTGATTTTTATAGTTTGTTCATATGTTGTGCTGTTACACCACATTCCCAGGTTAGAGGGATGGTTCGACGCTCACAAACATGTTCAACCCCACCACATTCTTTATGTGCATGTCCCAAGTCAGGAACCTGTAGTTCAGTGGTTGTCGTTGATTCATGTCTGTCATGTTTGTTTTTCGTTAATTGTTTTGTTATAAATTAGGCCGTTACTTTTCTCAATGTAATTCTTTCATATTTTTCATGTCGGGGCCTTTTATAGCCGACTATACGGTTTGGTTTTTACTCATTGTTGAAGGCCGTACGGTTGCCTATAATTGCTTACATCCACTTTATTTGAACTTTGGTGGCTAGTTGTTTTATTGGCAATCATACCTCATCTCCGTATTTTTATATTATCCAATTTATAAGTTAGTACGTGCAAGTTCTAATAAATTATTTATACGATAATTACTTTTATAGTTTCACAAAAACATTCGTGTAATGCAAAGAATTTCTAGTAAATCTAAAAAAACCATATCAAAATTTTGCAAAAGGTGCTATCCTATATTTTGACAACCACTGTTTACAAAAACATCTGTATACATTACATATAGTTGAAAAGCCCTAGTCCAAACCTTGTTCATATAGTTAAAAATATACATATCAATGACAACATGCATGGCGGGAAGAGGATATCTGGATGTATTCTTTTTCTTTAGGCCTGTTCATTTTAAATATAAAAGTAAATGTATAAAATCCATAAAGAAATTTTGTTTTATTTTCATAAATGGAACTTGTAAGATCCTACTTCCATATGTCAGTTATATGTATACTTCATTTTTACTATATATGTAACCGATTAATGATGAAAAATGATATCACATTACACCAATTATTCGTTTATCTTCAAACATCATATTCTTTTGCTTCGCAAAGTTTTGAAATTGAACTTGCCAAACGGACTATGTGATAACAATTGCCATACTCCTGACTTGGTACAGGACATTGTAAGAATAAATGGTGGGTTGAACCTGGTTTTATGGCTAGTCAAACCTCCCGCTTATATAGCAATGTTACAAATACCGCTAAAATGACAACATTACGTGACAGGAATTAAGTACAAATAAATGCAAGAACATTCAGGACAGAGAAATACATAAATAAATAACATAATAGTCCATTTCAACATGTAAACCACAGAATAACAACGAACACCTTAAATTAATTTACGACAGAGCACAAATACAGCACAATCGAATAATGAACTGTACGTCACACAAATGTATCAACGCCATAAAAAGTGACGTCACAGGTAAATTTCTAAAAATACAATATGAAATTGGGATTAAGTTTGTAATGGTGTTATTAGTTGTATTTTCTAACCATTACAAGAATATTAATATAGAACTGTGTTAGTAATGGTGTAATTATTTGTATTTTAAGTAATAAAATAAATGAGTTCACTATTTGATGAGAATACAGTATAGATGCGTGGATTAAACCTGACTCCTGTCCGTCCCCCGCTAAAAGGTATCACTTATTGATACTAATGTTTAACAACTAGTGATCAGTTCTAATAGAGAAATCATTTTCCGGTTATCTCAAGTTTCTTTGTTACACCATTATAACAATAGTTTACAATTTTGATGCTATAATGCAACCTTTTGGGAAGTAACAAAAGCCACTGTTTACTCTCTATCGTGGATAAGTAATCGAATGTGCATGGGAGAGATTAATAAAGCATATGGAGAGCAAATTTTCAACTTCTCGTATATCTAAAGTTTATATCATAACATACTCATGTGTTCGTGCCCCGCATTGTAAAGCTTTAAAATTCAATACCTATTTTGGTAATGTATCCAACTTATGCATAGCTATGTCCAGGTTTGATTTTACTGTATGTCCGTTTTGGTTTTATCAGCTTCATGATGTGTCTAGCGGTGGTGGATTTGCATATAGTTTGGGCCCAAGCATCACGGAAGATACATTAATTGAGGAAATGCACATCTGGTGCAGAAACATTAATGCGAATGCATACTTGGATCTTTAAAACCATAACATTCAAAACGATATGTTTTACAATTATAAAAAAAAATTATGTACAATTTGTGATTTATACATCGACCTAGTTACCGACATTATAAAGCTTTCGTTGATAAATTTAATGAATGATAAAAAGTAACATGTGTTGTAGAATTAGGAGCTAATCGATATCTTGCTTAAGCCTTATCAAGTACAATGAAAGTAAAGAGTTTGGGAACGCAAAAGAATTGTAAATCATTTGACAAATGAAAACAAAATATGTCTTTTTTTATAATGAATAATTGTTTTTTCTACAAATTTGTTGGTTTGTTTTGAATGCTTGCACTTTCAGAAGTTATTCTGAAACTATTCAGATAAGACGGCGTTAATAATTTCTTAATATTAACATTATTTTTAATAGAATAAATTGGATACCTAGCTATAAAACCAGGTTTAATCCACCATTTTATATATAAGGAAATGCCTGTACCAAGTCAGGAATATGAATAAATAAAGACAACAGTAGTATACCGGTGTTCAAAAGTCATAAATGGATTGAGAGAAAACAAATCCGGGCTACAAACTAAAACCGAGGGAAACACATCAACTATAAGAGGAAAACAAAGGAACAATAGGAACACTGAAGTGCAACAAAAACAAACGCCAACATACATAAAAACGAACTATTTGATAACAACTGCCATATTCCTGACTTTGTACAGGACATTTTAAGAAAAATGGTGGGTTGAACCTGGTTCTATGACATTTGTTTCCATTCGTTTGATGTGTTTGAGCTTATGATTTTGCCATTCGATAAGGGACTTTCCGTTTTGAATTTTCCTTATTCGGTTCGGTATTTTTGTAATTTACTTTTTGGATTGACCTTTTTATTGATACAAAAAAAAAATTTGCTTTGTAATAAAATTATTGATACTTAATTTAGAAATGTTATTATAAATGATTAGAGAAGTACCGTATAAGGAACAAACTGAGACATCTCATAGTGGTGAAATGGAAATTAAATCCTCGTCTAATACAGCTATTAACTGAGAATGTCATTAATATGCGACACATACTTGTGAAGACTGTCAATGTAATTTTGCACAAATTAAGAAAATAAACTTTCATTTTGGATACACTGACAGTTTAATCTATTTTTCCTACAATTCTAAATGCTGTTAAACCATATCAATTCTAGTTAATGACAATTTATTTATATTTCTACAGATCAACGACCAGGAAAATTCGCCACAAAATCTGGACCTGAGTCGCAAATGAGGTCGAGAAGAAGAGCAGCCAAAATGTTAATTACCATTGTGGCAGTGTTTGTTATCTGTTTCTTTGTTGTTCATCTAATACATGTTTTGAGGTAAGACCATAAACAATAGCAATACAAGGACTGTACTTTGTCCTTTAAATCTATCACGATAAATGCCTCTATAAAACATAAATCCTTAAACCTTGGTACGTTGCTTTAAGTCTTTAATCTAAAAAAATATTATTCATACAAATTATTGTACTTTTTCTGAATTTGCGAAAAAGTTACGTGCGCCCGAAGCGCTTTTCTTGATTTACTTTCATTAGGAATGCTTCAAAATAAAATTGAGAAATGTTTAAATACGTACAAACGTGAGGATTTAAATGACTAAAACCAGACATAAAAGAACAGCCAAATTCATCAAAGGTTAAATTTTCCAAAGGATAGAAACCTTAGTTTCATAATAATGATTAATTTTAACCGAGGAAAAGTATGTTATAAATCATGTCAGTACCGAAGCCCTGACTACTGAGCTTATAAAACCCTTGGTATCGACCCAGCGTTAGTAAATGAGAATAATACTCTATAAATTTCCTGCGTCGGAAGCTCTTTTCTGGTTTTGCTTTCTTCGGGAACTTTCAAACCTAACTTTTGAAAGCCAGGAATGTATGAATACATTCCTTTTAAAGTTTCAAATTCCTTGTCAAATACAATATCTCTCGTTTGATATTATGCTAAAGGTCTTAAAAAAATAAAATATTAACTATTCGACCCCTGTTTGTCATCACCATTTATTTAAAATGAATGACTTATTGTGTTCCGTTATAAAGATATCAGTGTCTGCTAATGTAATTGTGTATTAGTATCAAGATAATTGGTTTAATACTTAAGCTGAGGAAAGCTAAGTATATTAAATAGACTGAAATAACAAGTACAATCTTTAAAACGATATCAGACGCCTTTAGATGGGAGCATAGTTATGTTTAACAAATGAATTGTTTGATGTTTTATTCTATCATATTAAATTGCCCTAAATTTGACGTCAAACGTATGACAATTCTAAAAATTGAACACTCGCACTTGTCTCTTAGCAAATATACATATATACCTTAATTAACTAGTAAAGGTATATAGCGTAATTTTTCAGAAACAAATGCCTGTGAAATTAAAATAAAATAAAATATATACATTGGAACACATAACAACTTGAAAAAAGGTTTTAGAATTTAGAAGAAAAAACAATGATAACTATACAAGGATAAATAATATAATTACAGACGAAAACTTAAACCGACTGCGTCTGAAAAATAATATCAATAAAGTAACGTTCTCCTGCACAGACATCATTATATTCCTAGGTATAAATTACGCCCATCCTTTCATATAAAGATGCAATCATAGATACTGACCATAGACCAATTTATCACTAAACATATGCTTCCATTCTGCGACAAGTTAATTTTGTCAATTTATCAACCTGACAATTTCTCTCATTGTGTCTTCTTTAAGAGAAAGAACCAAAAAGAACATATTTCATTCAAACAAGTTGCAATTCAAGGTTATGTGATTACGATGTACCATTAGGGTCAAGTATATTGATTGCTTATACTGTAAACAAAAACAGTATGTTCTACATGATTTGTTATCCTTGTAGTTTAGGCTGTATTAAAACAGCTAAGATAACATTCAAGACAATAACATAGCAAAAAGTAAAATAAAAAAAAATATCAACTCCAAGGAAAATTCAAAACGGAAAGTCCTTTATAAAATGTCAAAATCAAAAGCTCAAACACACCTACCGAATGGAAAACAACTGTCATATTCCTGACTTGGTACAGACATTTCCTTATGTAGAAAATTGGTGGATTAAACCTGGTTTTATAGCTAGCTAAACCTCTTACTTGTATGACAGTCGCATAGAATTCCATTATATTGACAACAATGTGTGATCAAAACAAACAGACAAAATAGGTAAGATTTCAAGACCATCATGTATTATTTGTGAGGTAGATACGGAATATTTATCAACAAGGTCTTGGTATCTTCCAATAAACCTTTTTAGAACATAGCAACATATATAACATTTTGAGAACATACATGTGGCATCAGAACATAGCACCATATTTTGAATTACATGAATATTTCTAGATCTTTTTTAATTCAAAGCTTATTCCGTTTATACAGTGTATGTTTTCAAATCGTGCAAGTCATTTTTCAACCTGTACACAACCAGAACAAATGCATACAGAATCATGGATACTATGTTTTATTAATTATATTCTTGGTTCAAAATGATATATGTTAAATGATTTGGCTATGAAATCTTATGAAAATTATTCCCCACACCTCTAGCCGATGATATTTATAACTAAAGCCTTTATCGGTCTAAATTTGTCTGGCCTAATTGTGTAATATGAATTTAAAATATTAAAAGACAATCTAACTTAACATGAAACTATATTCTGATGGAGTGTTAAAAAACGTGGTCTGAATTCAGAGTTATGCTCTACTGTTATTAATATTAGATCTGGTGATATATCCGTGTTACAAAAGTCAATAAAAAACATATATTAGAAATCTAATGAAGTTTTCTATATTCTTTAGATGACTTTTTCTGGTAAAAGAAATTGCTCTTTCTTAAATTCATTTGATTAAAAATGATTTTAATACTTTCGTTTTTCAAACTAAACTATCTTTCTAAAAAAAAAGTGTGTTTTATTTTTTTTGGATAATTTAGATAAATTTCAAATAAAATTACAATACATTTTTTATCTTTTTTTAAAAACTTCTTATTTTTTTTGAAAACCTATAAGCAATGGACATTAATTTCAGTTAAATTTGCTTAAAAAATAAAATAACAAAAATGTCGAACTCCAATGAAAATTCAAAACGGAAAGTCCCTATCAAATCGCAAAATCAAACGAATGGAAAACCCGTGGCGGATCCAGAACTTTTTATAAGGGGGACCCGCTCCAGTCATGCTTAAGTGATTCCCTATATAATCAACCACATTTTTCCCACAAAAGTGGGGGGGGGGGGGGGGTCCCCTCTGGATCCGCCTATGAAAACAACTGTCATATTCCTGACTTGGCACAAGCATTTCCTTATGTAGAAAATAGTGGATTAAACCTATTTTTTTAGCTAGCTAAACCTCTCACTTGTATGACAGTCGCATAAAATTCCATTATATTGACATCAATGTGTGAACAAAACCAACTAGACATAATAGGTAAAAATGTCAAAAATTAGGTTACAGCGGTCAACATTGTTTTATAATCTTAATCACTATAAAATCAAACAAGTTTGTCAACAAAAACTGCGTTTCATGTAATGCTCTTGTCAAATAGATGGTATACGCCGCACAGAAATGTACAGAATATACGAGAAGAGAATAAAGAAATAAAAATATATCATTATTTTAGAAAGGAAATTTATTTTGGCAGTGGTTCGAACTAAACGTTTGTCAGTCTTTTGTCTTGTTACATAACAAGCTTTTGTTTGTTGAAAAGTTAAGAATAAAACACGATAACTCTTAAATAGAAAGACCTTGAGTGGATTCAATTTTTACTTGATTCTGTTGCCATTGTCTCTATATTTTTAAAACAAAATAAACCTTTATTTTAACAGTTCCTTGGGACTTATATTCAAAAATATCGTTTTAAAAATCACACAAAATAATGATATAAACACATAGGAAATCCCCGCATATCCTAGTAAATACATGCCCATTGCATTGTAACAAATATTATTAATTAACTACTTTGTTATTAGACTTCATATGGTAAAAAACTAACTGCATGTGTTACTAAACAAAGTCGATTCGTTTAATACAGAATACCTCGGCCAATATTGATCTTTTTCGCATTGGCCAAGTTTTTATGCGATCAATACAGAATTTCATGAATTTAACTCTAAAGTGAGGATGAACACCACCTTAATGTTAACTGTTGTTTGGAAGTACTGTTTCATTTATACACTAACATCGTGCCTTAACGTTCAGTGTGGCATGATGAAATAGTAAATTCATTTTTAGGAAATCTTTTGTAAGCAGGCACTTTATATGGTAGTCCCAAGTAGGGAGCCTGTTTACTACATTGTAACAAGTTTCATATTGGAGACTGTATTGATATTGTCAGTTATGTTGTTTTACATGATATTAAATTGGTTCCACGTATTTTCAATAAATTAAAGCATAATGCATTTTCATTACAGCTGAAAAGACGATGACGATTAAAGTTTCACAGCTACTTAGAATTTTCATTTATATATATATTTTTTTCAACATTCAAAATAACTCGAAATATTTTTTTAAACTGATTAAATGTATGGTTATAGGTATTACAAATATTGAAACATGCTAGCGGACAGGGTTTGATAAGTGTTCCTTTTAATTCGAAAAATCAAAAGATATACATTAAACAAATAACAAAAGTCAGTTAGTCACAAGATGGACGTTTGCAAGGTGTCAGCAATTATACTTTCGAATATTTTCTTACATATTTGCTTTAGGCGATAAAGCTTTTGCATTTATAGAATGTTTTTTCCCGTTTTTAGCCTCAATTTTAAAAAACCTATTTTTTTCTATTACATTTGTATTGAAATTCTTGACTATAAATCATCAATGGCAGATGTGGATTTAAAGGGGCATTAGCTACGTGATATAGAAAAAAACAAAATATGATTTGTTTTTTTGTTAAATCATAAATGAGAGTGAAATAATGATATACTAATTCGTTTTTATCAGCAGGTTTGGTTTAGTTTTATCAAAATTGCCAAAGAAACATCGCTCATGAATTATTCACTTGCAAGTGAATAAATCGACCTCATTAAATCCGTATTCATGTGAATTTCAATTAAACCCCTTAGATAGAGACGGGTTATGCATGAACTAGGCGTGTTCAGCTATTTCAAAGAAAAGAATGTCAACAATTGAAGTGAAACAAGGGTCAACCATTTGGATTGACTGATTCGATCTACAAAAACTCATTCTAATACAGGTAAAAACGATTATTATCATATTTTTAAACCTATAATATGAAATAAAACAGACTTAAATAAATCTAATTGCACTAGTTCTGTATCTATTTATATCTCTGTTTATGTTTATATCG